GTCCTTCTGCTTCATACAGATGTCGATGATGCAGCGCAGTATGCCCCAGGCGTTGTCCATGGAGAGGTTGATCTGGGCCGCGAACTCGTGCGGCTTGAACTGCTGCGTGCCGAGGATGACGTGCCGCGAGTTGTCGCGCACCTGCGCCCGCGACACGTACCCGAACTTTATCTGGTCCGAGCCCGCCAGCAGCGCCTGACACACACAAACACACACGATTTCATATTTCTATTTACAATCTATAATCTATAGTACTATAATAAAGCGTAAACACACACTACTTCGTGGCGTAGGATGTCCGCAATCATAGCATATTTTTGAATAATCCTTTCTTAAATAAAAAGCCCTACACTTACGACACGCTATTAAACTTAGTGGGTACGTAAATACGGTAAATACCCAAATGTGGGAAAGAGACCATATGCTGCTGCCAGCATCCAGGAAGCAAAATTGCCATAGAAAGGTAAGAGGCAATATGTACGTTATTTTTTCTTTTTTTTTAACGATTCTACTTGTTATAAAATAACCAGAAAAAAATTGACTCGAAAATATTCAACCATTGAGCTAGAAACAATAAAATAAAATTATGACCATTTCCGTGCGACTAAAATGCAACCGGAGTTGGCATGAGACACGTGACGTCAATCGTCATATTATGTTTATAAGTTCTCAGTTCGTCATATAAGTTTGGTCCAATTTGGCGTCATATGCATATTGCCTATTGGTATTTTGACATTTGCAATTGAGAATTTGATAAATGTAAACAATGAAATAAAGTTTTTATAATTTAATGCGGTTGAAGGCGCACGGGAACAGCTAGTAATGAATATATATATATTTGTTGCGTATTTACCTGCACGGTCCACTTGGCGAGCTTGCAGGAGTTGTTCCGGAGCTCGTTGGCGAGCACGGCGCCGCGCTGCGTGTCCAGCTTCTGGCGCCACTCCACGCCGTTGGCCAGCTTCGAGTCCCACTCGTTCAGCGCCTTGATGGACAGGAACTGCGTCTCGTTCTGCGGGCCCTGCAGCACCGCGTCGTGCTCGCACCGCGCTATCAGCACCTACCACACCAATTATAACTACATATAAAAATATTATTATTAAAAAATCGTCTCTTAATGTAAAATATACGGAAAATCTAATAAAGTTGACATTACTGTGTATCGAAGACATAAAAATATATAGACGAGGCATAATGAACAAAAATTTTTCACTGGTTCATGTAATAAAATCATTTTACAAAAGTATAATAAGCACCATAATTTATTATAAAATAAACTAAACAGTATCACAAAATAAAATCTAAATATATAAATATTATTTACAAAATTTAAGTGATGATCATGTGAAAAATGTCTCAATGTGTCAAAAAAGTGACAATTATGCCTACTCTATATATTTTGAATGTCTTTGTTTTTCATCAACAGTTTCATTATTTATGGTGTTTACTTACAACACCATTATTCAAGTTCCACTTGCGGTAGCGGTAGCCGACGGAGGCGACTTCGCCCTCCTCCTCCTCTGATACAAACGGATTGGCCTCCGGGAACTTGTACTTTGCCTCGGTAGCTCCAGATTTCAACACCTGCATATTTTTTCGATATTAAGATAATATAATTACTTGCATACATAATATAAACGATAAGCTCCTCTAATAGAATGTTACACATTTGACATATAAAAGTTTTTTTTACAGATATACAATGAATTGATTTCTATAATTTAGTAAAAGGGTTGTTACGTCATCAAAAAATAATTTTGAGGTTTTTAAACTTTTAAAAGTGAGACAGTAAACAACACCATTGGCATTAGATTAATTTTGGTTAAAATATAAATAAAACTGAATAAAAGATACATTTTCACTGCTAGTTCGCTGCTTAATTATGGAGTAATAATTTCTCCTCCTATTTCTTTTCTCTTGGGTTTTCTGAATAAAGAGCAATGAAACATACCTGTTGGCTGAAGTTGTGGTTAATGAATGTGGCTTCCAAAGCGAGGTTGCGAG